CATTAACCCACACGAAGACCCCCCCCCCCAACACACACACACACTAGACGCACCAAAGTCCAAAGTCCAACGCAGCCTGATAACGACGTTGTGAATGTCTTCATAAATGCTAGAACTTAATCGGAAAACTCATCTCCCTCCATTGAAAACCCTATAAAATCCTTAAAATTTGGTTCATAAAATCAAATATTCACCGAATTATCTTCCAAACCCACCAAGAACAGAGAGATATATATATATACAGACCACAGCACCGACAGCTAAATCTACTATCGTAGTTGGGTCCCAAAAGCACTAAACTCAACAGAATTGGCAACAAGAAGAAGAAGAAGATGGAGAAGAAGAAGAATGGCGGCAATAGCAGCAGCAGCAACAACGGTGATAGGGAGAACCACCGCACAACGCCGCTGTCAGCGGTGGTGTCGGACTGCGTGAAGCGGTGGTTCCAGGAGGACAAAGGCGGCGACTTCTCCATTCAGCTCTTGCTTTCTCACATGTATTACAACGGTTACGGCCTGCCCAAAGATCCCCAGAAGGTCTTTTTTTTCCCCTCTGTTTCTCTTTTACTTCTTCTAACATATCATAACAGCTAGATTTATACATACATAAAACTTCCCCCCTAAAAAAATTGCATCTTTGATCCAAAACTTATATTGTTTAAGTTTCTTCGTTGTAGAATCAAACATGGTCAAAAAAGCTTCTAATTTTTTAATCTTTTGTTTGTTTGTTTGTGTGTGTGTGTTTTTAATTTCTCTGTCATTTTCTTTCTTTTGTTTTGGTTATTTTTTCTCAATGTTGGGTCTTCTTATTTCTTGAAGATAATACATATAGCTAAGTTATTGGATAAACTTTTTTTTTTCATTGGCGAAAGTTGGTTATTAGATAAGTACTTGGGCGCACTTAACTTGCCTCCCAATTCCAATCGAAACCAAAACCTCCCCTTAGGAGAGATTTGGTGGCCAAAGAGCTAGCCATAGAAGTTAGAATCCCTTTGGTTACTCATGCTCTAGTCGATTGATTAAGTTATTGTTACTATCAATGTTGGGTATTGTTACTGGATTACCTGGAGATATACTGATTTCATATGTTGGGTTTTTAGGGAAGAATTTGGATGACAATTGCTTCAAAAGTAAGATCTTCAGTTTGGAAAGTTAGCAATAAACTCCCAGGTGCTCTCTCTCTCTCTCTCTCGCGCGCGCGCGCACGCGTGTTCCCCCTACAACTGCTTGCATGGTTATAATGTTGTTATTAATTGTGATTCATTTGTTGATTGTTTGTCCTTTGTAGGTTACAATGCTAGTGATTCTCACTCAGATGAGTCAAAAGATGACTCCTGATTAGACCAACTTGGTATTTCTGTGTGATACAATTTGAAAGTGAGTTTGAGTTTGGTATTCTTTTGCTCTTAGCATACTTTTACCGATTTCTTCTCATTGCACTGCATTCTAGAAATCCCTTAAATTTGGTACATGAAATCTTTATGCGCCCCTCTCACCTTTCAATATCATCTTTGTTCTTGATTCCTATCTACACATGGAATGATAAAACATCATTGCAGGGGTGTGCTAATAGAATTATGTTTAGCATATCATATTTGTGAGAAAGTTCTTGTTTAGGAATTAAAAGAAATAGAACTTGCTGTAGTGCCGCCCATGGAGTTGTTCATTCCATTGGATTACTGGACTTTGGTTGCTGAAGTTATTTCTATATTTAGATTTGAAGAATGATACTAGCAAGGTCTTTACTTTTTTTTGATATCCTTAAACTTTTACCCCGTATGTGGTAATCCTTTCCTTGTTTGATTGAAGGGACTTAGGTATTTATACTATTGGGTCTTGAGAATGAATAGATTACCATATGGTGTACTAATCATTAAATCAGAGCATCCTCTCTAACCATCCAAGTAATTGCTAATTCTATCTCTTTCTTAAAAACTCGTATTTGTCTTAGAGCTTTTTGTGTGTCAGTAGAAATGAATCAAGAGTCGACTTGGAGCTTTAGATTAAGATTTTTGGTCTTCAAACTCAGCAACCATTCAAATTAAATGTTTTTACGCTGCAATAACCAATGAAGATTCCTACCAGTTTATGTTAATCCAACATGTTCAACCAATAAACTCGGCCAGATTTTGCATTTTTTATGTATTGCTTTACTCCATTGAGGACTATGGGTTTAAGACTGGACCAGGGATTGTGTAAACCGATCCAGTAGGCAGGGAACCCGGTAATGTGGGTAATTATACATTTTTTCTTGAATTAACTTCTTCCCCATTACCCAACCACCCCCCTCCCCCAACCCCAATACACACACAGACACATGCACACTAGCAAAAGAAATCTTGTGGGCAATTAACAGGTCCACAGACCTCAGCACTATAGATCTAGGTCATTATTCCTAGTGATACTTATCCATCATTCCATTGAAGATCAGTGTTACATGAACTCTTCTAGGTCACAAAGAGTGATTAGCAGCAAGGTTCTGAAAAGCGGTTGCGGTCGCCGTAACGGTGGCGGTGGCGCGGTTGCGGTTGCGGGGTGTAAAGGCCGTAGTGTAACGGTTGCGGTAACCGGAACCGTGAATTTTTTTATTTTTCGCACAATTTGAAAAAAACTTACCGATACACAAATTTTTTTTCCATGATCATATTTATTGGATTTTAAAATAAATATTGATCAATTTTTATAAATTTTTAAGTTTGATTCAATATATTTCATATTTTTAAATCACTATAAACTGAGTTTTTTACATTTTATTTTAATAATTAATGACTTTATATTTTACAAAAAATAATCACTAACTATTATATATAAGATAAATAATGACAAAAGTAAGAGAATAAATAAAAGTCTAAATATATATATATATATATTAATCAAGCCAAATAGATAATGACCACATTTATTATTATTATTATTTTCAAACAATATATAAATAGACACAAACAAACAAAATGTTTGAGTGATAATAGCTGAATAGAATAGCATAGGTCTTACAACTTCAACAAATCAATAACATGTTCTTCATCTTCCCTATTCTCTCTCTCTATCTCTTGTTCCTCCATCTTCCCTCTTCTCTCTCTATCTCTCTTCCCCTATTTTCAACTTTTTTTTTTTTGTATTTTTTTGTGTTTTTTTGAAAGAAGCAATTCGGAACCGTTACGTAACGGTGCGTAACAGGCCGTTACGATCGTTACGGCGCCGTTACGACCGTTAGTGCCGTTACGGCGCCGTTACGGCGCCGTTACGACCGCTATAGCAACCGCTATGGCCGATACACCTGTGAATCTCAATCACACTGCAAAAGCGGCCGTAACGGGTGGCGGTAACTACCACAACCGTTACGTAACGGCGTTACGTAACGGTTGCGGCCGCTTTTCAAAACCTTGATTAGCAGTAAAAATTGTTAGTGTGAAAGGAAGTTGATTTTTATTTTTTCATTTTAAATTAAGTTGCTTCAATGAGGTTGGCCTTTTCATGGACTCGAACTTTTTACTGTATTTAGACTGAAGATGGCATTGGGATGAAGTTGATTAACAGTTTCCGTTGTGTCATATTATTTTTTTATCCTCTACGTATCAATTTTTGGCCTTGAGAGCCTATATGAAGTCCACCATAAAATCAACCATGTTTCTACTTTTAACTAATAAGCATTATTTCCATGCTTAAAGCTTGATATCTTTGCATTTTTTACTTGCAGCTCTCTCTAGGAAACCTAACTCAAATGACCAAATCCTAATGAAACTTCAATACCAATCAATGAGTTGATTTATGTACTTAATTGTTGTATTGTCTTCACTGATTTTGAGTTACTTGTGGTTAGAAATTGGGACAAATGTCCTCCTTTTATGGGTGGATAAAATCCTTTGAGGGAAATTAAAAGATAAAATCTGGTTAAATAGAAAAATTGCCCTAGATAGTATATTAGCAAGAAAGGACTATTGAGTACATGATAACAAATAATTGGAATGAGATGTTTTTGAGTTGAGATTACTTGTAACATTATAGATTTCAAACCATGATTCAGTTAGTGCCAGTTGTTTGGGAAGAAGGCTTTTTAGTTTTTTTTTTAGCTAAAATAGCACTAAAATACAAATAGGCTAAAATAGTCAATAAGACAAAATGTCACATCAAACCCATAATCATTTCACTTCTTCTCTCACAAACATCATATCCAACTACAAAAAATCCATTTATCTTCCCAAACATAAAAAATTTAGCATCCTAAAATAGCGAAAAACTAAAATAGCAACTTCCCAAACACTCACATAATACTTGATATTCAAATTACCAATTTCTTATTCACATGTATAGTCGAATGGAAGCATAGAATTTACGTTTCATATATTTAATCTTGCATTGCCATTTTATCTTTTGCAGGGTCCTCGGCTTTGTACCTATTCGTTGCCACGAATGTTCTAGTGTGTTGGCACCAAAAATTAATTTTCTATCGATTGTGGCCTGTTGATTATGGCCAAGTTTATTTTTAGTTGATTGTGGCCTATCAATTGTTGCTAAATCTTTAATTGTGGCCAATTGATTTTGGTCTGTCGATTCGGATCATAAATTATATTTTTTAAGTGACACTACAAGAAAAATGGGTTTAAGCGGCGTTTTTTTAACGGCGTTTTTTTAAATGCCACATTTATTAATATTTAACGACGTTTTATAAAAACGTCGCATATTCCTTTAATAAAATGGTACCGTTTTGAAATAGGAGGCGTTTTAAACGCCTCCAAATACGTTGTGCCTCACGCGCCTATTTTAAATCTGAGAATACTTGTTAAAGCTTTGTAAACCCCAATTCTGAATCCTCACGGCGTCACAATCCTCACGCCTCTCTCTTGCTCATCCCCAATTGCTTCTAAACCCTTGAGAGCGATTTGAATTGAGAGCGATTTCGTCAGAGCGATTTCGATTTGAAGCTTTGAAGCTCCACTGTCTCTCTCTCTCTCTCTCGATTCATCCTTTGTTCTCTGCTATATCGATCTAAAGCTCTGGGAGATTGCGAAGAGAGAAGAGGGGTTGGTTTCGATCCCAGAGGAAGTGATCTCAGGAGAGGTTGTGCTTGATTTCTCAGATCGGTTTGAGAGCGATTTCGATTTTGAAGTACTCTCTCTCGATTTCGAAGCTTCACCACAAGGTATTGATTTCTCTCTCTCTCTCTCTCAAGCTCTTCCTTCCCGTCTCTCCCGATTTGGTTATTGAGATCTATTGCTTATTTGTGTTGTGTGTGTGTGTGTATATATATATATATAAATGTTTAGCTTACTTGAAATCTTACTTAGATTTTTTTTAACCGTCTGATATGTAAAGTTTTTATTTTCTCAAACTCCTTGTTTATCACCTCTACGTGCTTAGCATTTTTTTTTCTATGAAGATATGATTGATTGGAAATCTAACAGTATAGATGTTCAATATTACAATATTATTCTTAACAAGGAGATTCTGATACTGAAGTGATTGGGTTTTTAAAAACATTTTCCAGGATGAAGTTGATAATATTTGCTCAGAAGTTATTTCCAGGCCTCGCTGAATTGCTCTCTTTGTTGAGCCCTCTCCATTTGCGTGAGTATCTAATTCTACATCTGGATTAGTTTATACAAAATTGTTGTGTATATACTGTTTTGTTAATCCAAAGTTGAATCTATGGTGTGGATTAGATTTGGAATAAAGCTGTGAAGTTTGTAACATTTTGTGCAAAAATCTTGGTGGGTTCTATAGATTAGGATTGCTTAAATTGGATTTGTTTCTTATAATGAAAGTCTGGCAATGTGCTCTAGTATGGGGTTCAGTTATAATTTGTTTGTTTCTCCAATTACATTGGTAGCTTAAGGTCATTTAACAGTAAATTGTAGTCATGTACGTGCCTTATTCAGCTTTCTAACTTAGCTGTTGTTTGATGTGTGGAGTTCTAACATCAACTATAACTCTGATAGGTCTTTTGTAGCCTGCCTTGGTTTCATTAACCTCTCCTGCTTTCTGTTGAATTTGCAGTTATGTGTCCGGGTATAAAAATCGGTTCTAGAATTTTATTAGATATCTACGGGAAATGGGAGATGAGGTAAATTCCAGAGGTTCTGATATTGAAATTTTGTTTTAGTAGTTCTGATATTGAAATTTTGTTCCAGAGGTTTTGAAGCTTGGGAACTCCACTCGGATTAATGAGCAGTGCTTGGAGCTTCAAAAGTATATCAAAGATGATGTTTCCAAAATGAAGGTAGGTATGATGGTGGCTGCTTTCCTAAACCTTGTATTCATCTTGTGAAGCATGTTTTTGGTCTAATTTGGCCTGCATTTGCTTTCCTTTCATCGTTAATACCTTAATGATTTCATGGTTTTGGCAATGCAAATTATTGTGTTAACTTGATAGACAATATCACTCCAAAATCACAATTAAAAAGTACAATGATTTCAGAGGTTGCAACAATTAGAACAAGAGATCAATCCTGTTGCTTGCTTATTAACTTTCACATAATTCATCAATTTGGTTAATACTACTAACCTCTGACTCAGATATATTTTTCATATTGGTTGCTAAATGCTAAGCAATGCCTCTATCTCTTTGGTGATTTTTTTATTCTGTTCATTCATAATAGATGATCTAGTTGATAGTATATTGTGTTTCTCTTTGGTATCTGACTGGACCAATAGGGATAGTAATAATAGTAGTGTTGTAATGTTTTCATTCATATTGAGAAATTCTCCTTTTAGGTTAAATGCAATAAACTTTCAAACTGAATTGGTAGGGTAGAGTTGAATGATGAAAGATCAATTTTGTCTGTTGAATTTCTATAAGAATTCAGATATTAAGAACAACCATTTGCTTACATTCAAGTCTCCATCTCTGTTGAACCGAATGTGTTTTGTAGAGTAGCCATTGAAGGCCTTTCTATGCATTTTGTTGCTTTCCAGTTCAGTACTATTATTTAATATCAACCAAGTGACCAATTACATCTATGGAGAAGCTGAGGCATTGACTGATGATATTGAAGAAGAGAGTCAGATTTTTTGGGAGGTCTTGAGGATCAAAAAGATTATTGATAATTGTCAAGATGAGGTTTATCTTCATAACTTCTACTAAATCTCTCTCTTTTATGTGAATTTAATTTTCATTTCTGTATTTTGTTGCTTTTGATTTTTTTTTTTT